ATAATTTTTTATTTTTTTTTTGTAGAACAAATTCTCCGTTTCAAGTTATCTTAGAAATATTTTTATCCTCAGTATTTTTAACAAGATCAGTCTAAGGTGCAGACTTGAAGTTGAAACTACATTGTCATTGTATAAAGTTACACATTATTCATACTACTCCAGCTTGGTTTGTCCTTGGCATCTACACGAAGGAGTTAAAATTGGGTGTACCTCAATCTAACTAGGGCACAGTTGAGACTATAATTGTACAAAATTTCACAAATCAAAACAGTATTTTGAAAAATAATTGAAATACGACAATTTTTTTTTCGTTCACAAATTAATCGATGGTAATAAAACTGTTTTCAGGCGAAATTGAAAAACAATTTTCTGTTCAGAAATGACGTCAATGTACTACGATACCTACAGGTCATACAGCTAGTTACACGATTAGTAAAAAATTTTCATTTAAAAAGGGGATTGTTTTTAATTTCACGCAAAGCTACACGAGGGCTATGTGCGCTAGCCGTCCCTAGTTTAGCAGTGAAAGACTAGAGGGAAGGCAGACAGTCATCACCACCCGCCGCAAACTCTTGGGCTACTCTTTTACCAACGAATAGTGGGACTGACCGTCACATTATAACGCCCCCACGGCTGAAAGGACGAGCATGTTTGGTGTGACGGGGATTCGAACTCGCGACCCTCAGATAGCCAGTCAAAATACGCGGCCTAGCTAACTAATGAATAAACATTTGCTGTAAAATTCTTATCAATGCTATAAGTGGAGCTACCAGTTTGGCCGCCAATTTGGGTTCCATTCCTTTAAGTCGCACACTGAATCCTTTTTGGCCGCACATTTTTTTTCATACCTAAGATGTTTTTGATTAAATATCATAACTTTTTGTTAATACACACCAACAAGCCACAACAATTAAGAAAGTGACACTCGATGGTAACCAAAATTAGCTTTAAGCTCGCAACCCTATTATTCGGAACAGACCTATACTTTACAGAAGCGACCAGATTCTTTAAAATATATGGTGGTAGTTTTCCTCCCTAAAACAGTGTTAATAGCTTCCTTTATTGTAACGCCATGGAATTTAGATTAACAGTTTCTTGTCATCATCCCCGTACAACGGTACAATCGTATCAAGTATCATTATTTATG